CGAGTCGACGAGTGTCAGTATACATTTGTATCGAGTCACTTTATATTTCATTAAAAACTTCGTTGGGGTTAGGGCTCTCCACAATTTAGTGTACATTAAAGTTTTAATTAAACCGTAATTGTAGTTGTAAATACTTGGTAAATCGAATAATGTACAAGATGTTCGATACTAGTTACATTTATTATTATTTTTTCATTAAAGAAATTTTTTTTCTTCTGTTATTTATTATGTTTGACATATATTTCTTAAACTTATGAAAAATAATGGGTTTCAATAAAAAATTCATACATTATTATGTTAGTTCTATTTTGTAAAGTAACCAATTTAGTTTCACCGAATAGTATGTTAGTAGAAGTGTTCATTCGCAAACCCAGAGACATTCCAATTGTAGAATATTGTATTCGCTCGAGTTTATTTATTTAGTTTCTGCATCGGAAAATAGATAAAGCTACTGTAATCAATGATGGATCTTACATAATTTTTCTCAGAAAGTTAGCAATGTTTATGGGTAGAAACCCCAGTAGTGCCTCTGATAAACTGAGCAATATTTAATGCGCAATTAGTTTGTTCTTTAACATATCGCCATAGTGTATCAAATGTCAGTTGGTAGTCGAAATATATACCAAGAAATTTAATAGATTCCTTGGTCTCGACTGTTGCCGCAAATAGTAATATTCGATGCAATCAGATTAATCCCGTCTTTGTTAAATGGACGTATTTATTTTTTATGGGGAAACTTCTAAGCTCATATCCGATAATTTAACGTAAATTAGTTCAATAGTATCTTCCATAATTTTTTTAGTGGTAAGTAAATTCCTAGTAATTATATATATCACTATATCGTCAGCGAATAGTAGTATCTTTATCTCTTCATGAAGGTCTATGACTAGTTCTGCCATATATATATTAAGTACAAAATCGGACTGAGTATATTGCCTTCAGACAGGTTCTTATAACAAGAAAATTGATTATTAATGTTATTATTATTATATACGAACCTTCCGTGAGTTAGAAATTTTATAAATGCAAATAATTTTTTAGAATAACTAATCCCTGTAAGTTAGATGAATAGAATATCACTGAGGACGTTATTGAATACGTTACTGACGTATTATATATGAGCCACGTTAATTTCAGTGCATTTGAAAGCTTGATCGAAAAATTGATCATTGTTAGATTAAAGTATATTATTAGGAATATTATAGAATATCACAAATTCAAACATACTGCTTGACCTATGTACGTCTATATCATGCATATCGACGATTACAGATTATCCGCAAGTGGAGCTGTTTTCTTTTTATTCCACTCATTCTGTCCTAACATTCTACATGCAACGGATATGTTCCAAATGTCACTCATTAATCTTTTATATTTCTCTCAAATAAACTTCATTTTTTTTTATTTACACTTACAAACTTATCTATTGAACACGTTTTACAAGTCGCCAGGTATCCAATCCGGACAAAAGTTACGTAGCAGACTTGGTCAGTTTTATTTTTAACTTGGTCGTGATCAGTAACCAACTGAGGGTTGACTTTAATTCATTTATATGTCAATATTTTTGATTTGTACGACTTAAGTTAATATTAAGATTGAGATTTTCTATGGAGGATTGAAAACGTGCGTTTTTCTTATATTTGAACCATTTTTTGCAATCTTTATTGCATGTATATTCCCATTTTTTGTAAGATGCTTGCCGTTTTCTCTTCACCCGTTCACAGTCCAAATCCTACCAGGGACCAAAATTTTTGTTTTTTTTTTATTTATATATTTTTTAAAGGTTTTGGCGCGAATTATTTCTGAAATAGTTTTAACAAAAAATCATATTTTACGGTGGAATGAAGATTATCATAATCGCTAGAAAAAAGTTTGATGTATGTATTATTTAACACGTTTTAACTTTAATCCAAGCGGTTCATATTAATTGTATTTTAAAAGTTTTCTTGACGTAATACGACTTTTCAACATCGTGATCTATGCTTATCGGAAATAGTCTGAGACTAAGTTATATCTTCACTTACTTTTAAGTAAAACTTTCAAGTACAGGGCTACATCCATTGTAGAAAAGCCGAGATTCATATCACTTTTGTTACAAGTACTTGTATCTACACGCGTGAAAGTGTAGGTGTTATGCAAATGTAAATTATACAGATTAGCTGAGTCGTATAGTTTTCAGCTATTTTTGTCATTTTCACAACAGTTCAATGCCTCGTTGTGTGAGTTTGAAGCACCTGTAAGTAGACATTTCTTGTATAATTGAGTGTTAGTAAATAATAAGTTTCATTTGTCGTTTGTAACTTCAAAATCGGAAGGTCTGTAGTAAGCTATTATAAAGAATGGTTTGCTAGATTAGAAATTTGAACTTCCAACAACTCGGTTTGTAAATCAATATTTTGAATGTTATCTCAGGCAACGAAATTAAGTGATTTACGTTTATATAAGCATAACAATCCCTAACTTTCGAGCATATAGCCTATATAGTTTGGAAGTATTGAAGCTAGCAAATTTAAAATTATGAATTTCTTTCAACTATGACTCAACGCAAACAAGGATACGTAATTCATGAATAATGATTTTAATCTTATTTTTTTTATAACGCTTCTAACGTCTCAAAAGAATATGGGCAACTTAGTGAAATTATTTAGGTGTTCTAGGGTACATGATTTATTATTTCTCATTATTTAATAGAACAAGAGAAATTTGAGAGCAATAAGTACGTATCAATATGAAATTTAGACTTATACATTACAAATCTCATAGTTTATAGACCAGAATATTCATCTGAAGAATCTTATGTATCGGATGTATCGAACGCAGCGATGTCCATTACTAGTAGTTGTTTTTTCAACGGTGTGAATCTATTCTTGATTTTCGAAAGAGTCAGATATTTATAGATTTCTATCATGAAGATGAGGGATGAAGAATATCTCGTATAGTTACAGGCTAATTTTGCTTCAAAGTATTTACAATTGTATGTATCATATATAAACTACAGTAATTATTTATATTAGTAATTATTCATATAAGATAGAGAAGGATGCAGTAATGATTTCATGGATGTGATCTCTGACCAACTAGGTCTGGGCTCTAATTTCGATAGACGGTTCTTTAGTATATGAGGCCTTTTACTTTTTGTACACATGTTTTTTTAGTTTTTTTTACTTCAACTCGTAATATGTTAGATTTCTCTGTCTGTTTTAGAATTGTACTGATAGAAATTTACCTTTTTCTGAGTTTAGCGAGTAAGCTTTGTCCATTGAAATACAGGTTTTCGTTGTTTTCGTTGTTTTCGTCGAGGGGCTTTTAGCCATTATTAATTTTCTGGTTAAATGTAGGTGTGATTGATATGCTAGACGTAGGTTCTTAATATCTTGTAGTTGTGAAGTATGAATGTTGAAATGATGAGTGCTTGTACTATCATCGCCTGTATTGTTGCAGTACTTTGCTTTATGCCCTTTTTGATTACAAATGAAGCAGGTAATTTTGTCAATCAAGACATAGACGCTGTAGAATATATCGTCATAATTAATTATTAATTCTGAAGGTAATGTCATCAAAATCTATATATGCCTACGAAAACTGAAAATGTGTGTGAATCCAAATGATCTAGTAAATTTCATATTGCTCATGTTGGACTTTGGTACAACTCAATATTTTTTTATTTTATTTAGTATAATTTATCGTATGGAATGCAGGGATAAATATTGGAAAAAATCACTCTTTTGATTTTGGCAATGTAAAAAGACATGTTCAGCTTGTGGCCTTGAACTGCTATAGTGTTATTATCTTCTTTTGTATGTTCATCCATTTTTAGTTATCCTGGATGAAGCCAGTATATTGGACTGTGAAGTTTTCTTGGCTACACCTTGGAGGTAGAACAATATATCGATCTTTCGATCATATCAATGAAAATAGCTTGATTTTTCAGATATAAACAATATAAACTGTCATTCACTACTCTATAAAAGAAGTTTTTATTTTTACTTTTACCTATTTGAGAAGGATCTTACACTTACCTGTGTTAAGTGGAGAGGTAAGTGTGCCTTATATAATTTTATTTAGCGAGTTGAATGTTATACTGTGACATAGTTACACTTTTTCGCTTAAACAGGTCGTTTATTGAGTATTCGAAATAGCGACACAACCGTGTTTATAAGCGTGAATGATTTACCAAAACGTCTGACTCACACAACTGCTTTGGTATTTTTTATAGGTATTTTAAAAATGAACATACAACAACTGTATGTAATTTTGTGTCTCTTTTCATCAATAAAAGGCTTTAAAGGTTGGCAGATCATAACAGACGAAACATCTCAAAGAATATTTATGTTTCCTCTATCTAAAAAATCTTGCCTTCATCAGATTAATAATTTGATTGCTATTTGTTAAGTAATTATAAGCTATATTTTTATTGTTACTTCAACAATAACGTTCGTTTTAAGGTTTGCTGCAGAGATACACTAAATACCTATACGTATCAGTCTTAGTTCCTTATAAGCCATGTGAAATATATAACCAACCTGCTCACTACTTTTTGGAAGGATGTAAGAGAAATTTTACATACATCACGACTATACCTATAGCTTAAAATTAAATCGCACAAAGTCGTTAGCTCTTATCCACTGAGACAACTTAACTCTACTATTTTTATTTAAAAGGTTTAACAATGGTCATAAAAAGTTTTTAATGTATTTTTTAAATATCGACCTATACACAGATGATGCGTATTTTATAATACGTTATGTATAGTCCTATAGGTGACAGGTCGAGTGACACTTATTACATAAAAATCATACATTATATTATAGCACTACCCTAATATTTGTACTTACGACCCTTCTATCCGTGGCTTAGTATTCCAAGTTGGCAACATTAAGTCATGGACTGTGAGGGAGTGAAATGGGATGCAGAAGTGCAAATTTAAGCCTTAAATTGCTATGATTACTGTTATTTTGATTACAAAATAAGATGCCGATTGTTATTTGGTTATGTTGCAGTGAGGTGCCTAGTGCCGGATTTCCAGCATCCGATGCAGAACGTAACGGTGCCGAAGGGTCGTGACGCGACGTTCACGTGCGTGGTGAACAACATGGGTGGATACCGGGTGAGTCCTTCCTCCTCCGCGAGCGGTGATCACGCTGGTGCCAATCCTCGGGTAACTATCCACATAACATGATCTAACGTGATCGCCTGCTGTAATGGATCTTGTCAACACAAATCAAGAATGATAATAATCGCCGCACTCTCTCTCTTTCATTGCACCTTATCTCGCACTACATCTCTTGCTCTCTATCTCTCTCTCTCTCTCTCTCATGCTATCACTATCACTATGACTATCTCTTCCTCGCGTGAGTCTTAAAAGAGCAGCCGATGGTATGCCTGCACCACGAGCTCTCTTCTATCAATTTGATTCTCTTACTACCTTTCTTTTTCTCTTTCACAAACATTGTAAATCATGATGCTCTTCTTTCACACACTATGCAAAGTATATTATATCATCCCACTATATATGACTTGCACTAGCTGCATTGGTTAACCGATTTGCCACTCTGACCTAAATCTATTTTTATGAGAGCAGTGCAAAGCCCTCTTACCTTAAACTCGCCACTAGATGCTATAATGCGATCCTCGTGGATATGCTTGATGCATTCTGGTTGGCTTTAATCTTCATTTGATTCCCTTCATTTTTCACCCAAGTACAGCAATGCGTACATCAAATGTCTGCCTTGAATTTACTTTCATTCTATTCTGTGAATGACTACGAGCAGAGTCATCAACCGTATAATCGATTGATATACCAAAACAATGCGAATGTAGATTAATGGCAAGTGAATTCAAAGTATTATGCCCTACTGCTGAATAAGTTTGGACAATGTTACCTCGATTCCTCGTTTCTTTCATTTCGTCGCTTTTAGAATATCTACTAAATAAGAAATTCCTTAAGAATTTTGTATCAGCAGCTATCTCGCAGCACATTTCAATAATCTGTACAGTACATGCTTGAATTCTAGTCGATCCAGCTGGATCAACGCCTATACATTACCAGCTTTCTAACCACTTCTCATCCTCATTAACGATCAAATCAGTTGAAAGCTAACAAATCGCACCTTGAATTGAATGAACAAATGCACCATGAAGTTTTGTAGCGTGAACTGGTGATCGTATATTTTTCTGCATGTCTGATACCCCACAACAGCATCGTATATTGCCTATGTCAACGTTTAACAGTGATATATACAAGGTGAAGACGTAGCCCGCCCGCATTGTAATTTCATTTGGCTATCGCAAAAATTGATGCTATTGTGATCGTATGGCTATTGCCGTACCAAGCTTCAATTCCTCTTCGGCTTTGAGTCCGCTTTCAGTAATATCAGTCTCACCAAAACAGATGCATAATATTTTCAGTTGCGGCAGCAGATTACTTGATATTTTTTCCCTTTCGCATTTCTGTTTATGCAGTAACGATCAGAAAAAGTCAAGCGATTTCAAATACATGTGGATAAATAACACTTCGTATCAATTATTTTTACTTTCGTATCACTTGTATAAATGTATATAATCATGAAACGACATGAATTTAGGTTATTGGCAAGGCGTATTTCGATGTAAAAATGAAAAATTACTTATTGTCTAAAAAAATCAGAAATAACGCCATTATTTTTCGCGCATAAAGCAGTTACTGAAGCACATACACCCGACGTTAAACGGGCGAGTGATCGAACAGAGATATTCAAGTGCACTCTAAATACGACGCTTAGTTTGAACGCACTATACAAGTATTATGCACAAAATATGCACTGCGGAGAAATCAAGAACTGATCGATGCTCGCTGATACTCGAGTCCATCGTCAGTATGATTTTTCTATAAAGCTTAACCGAGGCATGAAACGCGATGCATGCGCATTAAAAAATGAAACAAATGAGCCACTGCATGAGCATGAAATGAAAAAGTTTATTAAGAGTGTATGTATCCTTAGCGGGATACTCAAGAAAGTACATCTCAGAGGTATTGCGGATTTGAACCATGTAAATATTAGTTCTCACCAGCAATTATTCACTGCAACACCTTTGAATGTTCAATACAAAGCTGCTTACATCAAAACAAATGTTCGCGAATACACGTGCGGTTAAGATTCGGTTGTATGCGACGCGAAAGTAGGCTGATCGTTGACAATCATTCCCGATAAGAAATAATTCGATCTTGATCTGTATAAACAAGGCCAAACTCCAGAGATGTCCTGATAGGGAAGATGGAATTTTTAATTAGCGAGCTTATCTGCGTATAACGTGGTCTTAAAAGTACGACCCCGCATGTACACGTGTATATGTAGTTTCAGGGCGAGCAGAAAAAAGTAGGAAAGAAACGCGACTAGACGCCGCAGAGCAAAACGTGGTAAAAAGAAAAGAGCGCGCGCTACTGCGAGTCACGGACAATAAAATTGCAACAACGAGTAAAAAAAAAGAAACAAGTTGCAGCTCGTTGTGTTTGAAAAAAAGCGCCAACAGGCGGACGACAGAGAACGAGAGAAGAGGAAGGAGGTCTGAGGTCCGACAATACCGCAGCTCCGTCCGAAATGCTTTGCATATGAAAGAACCAGTGTGCGAACTACGGCCATATCCGTGTGTACATATGCGCGCGCGTGTGTGCGTGCTTGTATGTGTGCAAGCTCCTCCAAGACCTCTGTACGCTCTTTAGCAGCAGCAGAAATCGACCTGACGCCAGTACTCGTTTTATTTCTGTTTCCAGAGCTGCGCGGGTTCGTTTCTTCTCTTCCCGCCTTTTATCCTCTTTATTCTTCTTTCGACCAACCGTCTTCACCTTTCGTTATGCGTCAGCTAAAGATTTTATCCGTAACACTCTGAATTTCCCAGAAAGCTCCCAAGTCGATTGTATTTCCTTCCCACTAAATGATTCATCCTTAAAGCTGTATAAGCCTTAATTAAGGCTTGGGTAGTCTATAAATAAAGAAAAAAAAATGATTCACCCGATTTTAAATTAACAGATTTTATCGTACTATCTCGGGATTACTCGTAACATCATTAATTTTATATTTGTTTAAAAGCCTTAGTCATTCATTTAAAAATGAATCTTAATACGTATTTGAAAGGATTGTGGAGTTGCGTAGAATAACAGCGTAAATAATTTATATAGTTTTATTTTAGTTTATGAATATCTAGTATTTTCCGATACCATATATATATGTGCATTGACAGTATATCGTGAAATTTATATTTATGTAGTGAAATTGTGATGACTTATGGAAAAACGGTATAACTTGAATAAAAAAAAACAGAAAACAGAAAACATCGAAGAGATCTCGAAAAGATTTTAAAAAATGAAGAAACATAGCAAGATGTACATATATATTTATAAATAAATAATAGAATATCATTATTGTATAAGCAAGTAATAAATTTGTCAAATAACGTTACTAACTATTATTAAATAGAGTCGATCAATGAAAAAACGATATAATTTGAAATAGCCATTGGTTAACATACAGTAGATTTTGTAATTTGTTAACATTAAATTGATTATTATTACGTCCTGTCTTGCCTTTCGTCTATGACGGGGGACTCTCTTCCGACTTCTTAATCTTGTCGATCGAATGTAAATTGCGCTTGAAGCACCACTCACAGCCACGCACACCACACAATCGAGGGGTATTGATTTTTTGATGAGTTTTTCAATTAATTTCTCTAGAAACTATTTCGAAAAAGAAAGTTAATTTACTTCGATTCTTTTATTATAATCGCGAAGTGATAAAACTATTTGCCCACAACTTTGCAACGTGTACGCTTTCTGTTTGTCTTTCCTTGTTATTTCCAAGGAAAAGGGGAAACTCCCCTCCGAAAAACTTCTAGGCTCCCTAACAGCCCAATAGTAAAGAAAGTAAGTCGCTCATTAGTGCAATAATAAACGTCACCGGCCAATTAGTCAATCACTCCACTCTCCACACTATAAAATCAACCGTGAGAAAAAATTATTTCTCCTTTCATGCGACGACTTTCACGAAGTCGAGAAAGAGAGAGTAAGTCCATAAATTAAAGAGAGTGATTAGGTGGGAATCGAGAGACGGAGAGAAAGGGAACCACTTATCTTCTCTTTCGTCTTCGCGATTCTATACTCATAAAGTGTACATCGAGCGCTATTATACATATTTATCAATTCTGCAAAAGACGTCCTCGACTCGCAGACACACGTGTATCTTTCCGTGGCTGCGAAAAACAACAAATCTGCGCAGTTAGGCATTCTTGTGTGAGAAGCCTTAGAATGAGCTTTCTCAGACAACTTTCTCAGTGATCGCTTGGTGACACCTCAGCGTCTGGTGTCTGCTCTAGCTTGGGACGTAACCATTACATATATAATTGATTTTCTAATAGTTTTCTTGAAACATTTTTCCGGAATACCATTTTATCTCTGTTTTCCGTTGTTTTCGAGTTATACAGTTATTCCGCACATCCCTCCAATGATAAGCACACCAGCGAAAACAATAGAATTAATTTTGTGAATATGACATTCAAACAGCTATCTACCTAACGTAGTTTTTTTATGCTCTTCATTGGGATCGTGCAAAAATTTTATCTTTGAATTTTTAATGCTGAAAAGCACAGAGCAAAGAATAATTGATCCAAGTTGCGATCGAGTGAGAAGATGAGAAAAGAGAAGCGTCACGAACATGGCGGCAATGTGAGGCACTTAATCGAGCCCGCGTGAACTCATTCCCTCGTGCGCGAGTCAATGACTAAATCATCCCCGCTGACGAGAAAATACACTCGACGGCATTCATTGTCATTATTATGGGAACGGAAGGGCGCCAGAGTGGAGAAGAAAAAAGACGAAAAAAGACGAAAAAAGACGAAAGAGAGGTACCCTTTTCTGCTGGCAGGTGCTTACTATCAGCCTAGCACGCTTATTGATAGCTGCGCCGAAGGGGAACCAGAGAGCAGCCGCCAAATGTATTCGTGCGAAGCTGATGAGGTTTGCCCTTTCAGCAGTAGCAGCATCCTGAGAGTAGTGCTTCGCGAGCAACAGAACCGGCCGGAATCCGCTATATACTTTGGGATATCTATCTCCCTACCTCGCTCCATCTCGGCTGATCCCTTTGGATCTTATTGAAATTTCGAATAGAGCGGGTGCTACCTTTCACTTTGCACGCCTGCGTATGCCGTATTTTCCCGAGTTTTAACGCGAGAACTTCCCTTGGCCTCGTTTATTTTTACTTAAGCTTTTACAACTCTCTTTCTCTCGCTCTCTCTACGAAACTCTTCTTAGCTCCAAAAAAAATTTAACGATGATTGACGTGGGCATACATCGATTCGTTTTTATCGAAAATTCATGTACCACCATCGCGCTTCATAATTCACGAAATTTTATCACAATAATCGTTCAATAGAATATTGAAAATACATATCGCTTTCTCACTGGGTCGCAGCTCGCTCTCGTAGCTATAATTGCCAACTGAAATTTGAATAATTCAAAAAACTATTTGAAATCGAATATCACAGGTCGGAAGAGGTCAGGGTATCCATGAATTTTGCTTAAAATTTAACATTCCCTCGGAGAATGTAAATTCTGCGCATAAATTCGACTCTCGCCTGGAAAATGTCAAAAATGAGACATTCCGTTCCTACCGCCTCCCCTATCTCTCTTTCTCTCTGCCTCTATTTAATATTCTTCGGCGATAGTCTATCTGTACGTGCGGCTTAGACAACGCCAGGCAAATACGAGTGACGAATTACATTGACGTAAATTTGCAGGCGGATCGCTCTCACCCTGTCTCCCTCTGAGGCTATGTCGTGCCGCGTCGGCGCCTTGCGATGCGCAAGCGGCCGAGAGAGGGAGCCAGAAGAAAGAGCCGTGAAATAAACAGCGAGCCAGATAACGAGATCGATGCTAAATACTTGCAGTATCTTCCCCCCTTTTTTCTGACTCGTCCATCGCTCTTTGGTTGTTTATTTCGTCATCGATAGCACGCTGCTTGCGAGCGAGATCGGCGGACACGTGACGCGCTCGATAACGGTGATTTGCACGCCGCGAAAGCGAGCGCGGCGGAAGCGAGAGCGATCACTCTGCTGGATGTGGCAGGTCGCGAGGGAGGAGATCGCTGCTTCATTCTTGCACTCATGTTTTTCCGAGAGCCGTTTTAGTTTCGCCGGCTCCCATCGGCCGGCCCCACGCCACTCCTCCAACAGTTATCATTCCTCTTGCGTTCGCTTCGTACTTCTGTTCGGTTCTCTGCGTTTCTCGAGCTTCTTCCGTATAGACACAGTGTGCCCCGCCGATTCAGACGAACATATATATTCAAATGACATTCTGCAGAGACTGTTATCCGCGCGGCTATGCGTGCTCTTTCAACGGGACGTTATACCTTCGTCGCCATAGCCTGCGCGTCAATATGATTCCAACGCAAAAATGTAAATGTGCCTTTTGCCAATGCACGATAATATTCTCAACGTGACACTTTCTTGAAATGTTGCAATGCTCAGACAGACAAAAATTACCAAAGCGTTGGAAAGGACATTGAGTTGTGCTGTTGAAATTTCACAATTAGTTATTCATTATCACGCGTCGAACAAGTATCCGCATACGCCACAGCGTAAAATGTTCGGGGCTCTCGTGTTAGCTGGTCGCCCGTATAGGCCGATAAACACGCATATATTGAATAACGCGGTAAGCAATAAATAATATCGAGGCAATGCGTAACGTTCATAAAATTGAATGATGCCCAATAGGAAAAAAAAAAATAAAGCGATAAAATGTCAAACGCACGCACATCCGCAGGAGAATAACGAAGCTCAAAACTAAAATGCTTGTTGTACGTTGTTGTTGGGCTGTTCGGCGTGACAACGGGTTTAGGTGGCCTGGATCAAGGTGGACACAAAAGCAATCCTCGCCATCCACGAGCACGTCATCACCAACAACGCCCGGCTCTCGGTCACGCACAACGACTTCAACACGTGGACGCTCAACATCAAGGACGCGAGACCCGAGGATCGGGGAACCTACATGTGCCAGGTCAACACTGATCCCATGAAAAGCCAGGTAAGCCCGCCTTGTCCCGGCTTTTCGCCTTTATCTATTTTTTTTTCTGTGACGCGTACTAGTGGCACTTACAAATATTCGGGTCAATTATTCGCTGCAAATGATGCACTCGTTCGGTTAATAATTTAAAGTTAATGGCGGTTTGCAAATATTTCGAAACCACATTAATATACCTGTGAATACACGTTTTCGAGAATAAATGATGAATTTTTTAACTGATAATAATCAAATATGGCTCATCATTTATTCACAAATTTTCTAATGTCTATAGTAAATGTGGTAAAAAATCGGCCCGAAAGATGGATGGTAGAAAGTAAGTCAGTGAAGTTGTTTGAGTCCAATTAAGTCTAATGCTATGTGTATATGACGGTGCGTAGAGTGCAGTTTTGGAAGTTGTCATACCACCGGACATTATCTACGAGGAGACCTCGAGTGATTTAATGGTCCCGGAGGGAGGTTCCGTCAAACTCCTGTGTAAAGCGCGAGGCTACCCTAAGCCTGAAATCAATTGGAAACGCGAAGACGGACAGGACATCGTCTCCAGGGCGCCAAGCGGCAGTAGAACAAAGGGTAAGTATCACACAATGTTCATTGGTGTAGCAAAGTGTAGGTTCTGATATTGCTCTTTCATCTGATGAGCGTTATTGCTATATAGAACAACGAGAAAAAAAAAAGGGCCCGTTCAAAGCTGAAATATCGTAAACGCTAGGTGGTAAATGAAGGTTTCGGAGTTAGAAATATAGTAAAGGTATTGCCAGCGATCGGAAACGACAAAGCGATGCATTGGATTTGAGCAGTCGAATTCGCGGCGGCCGTGGCAGCTAACCGGCAATCCTCGGCATACCAAAGAAGTGAGAAAACAGAGAGCGCGCAGCGCACAATTCCACGCGGGCTCGCGCTCCGAAAAACAGAGGGCAAAGTTTGTCTGCCGCCGCACGTTGGCTCGGCTGGCACTTGGCTGCGAGGCAAATAAAAGCGCCCCGTCAATAAATGACGACACTGATAAACGCCTCGCTTACTCTCTATCTCGGATGTGCTGACTCTCTCTCTCTCCCTCTCGATTTTGTAAACTCGTTTAGCGGCAGAGCCATTGTTTCCGGCGGACGCACAGACTGCCAAAGATATACCAATAGCTCTGCATTTACATCTCGTTTTTCCATTTTTTTTTATTCGCTCTTTCCCTCTCCTGTGCAATTCAACTCGTATAACAACACACCAGTCGTCTCCTATTCACCCATTCATTTTCGATTACGACAATTCAATAATTTATCCGTTTGTGATCTTCACTCACATAGGCGCGAGCCGTTCTGTTATTACCTTGTCGAATGGCTGTGTATTTTTATGCTAATCGAATAGACTCATTAAGAACTTGCGAACGAGCAGTTTTTAATTCCTTTTGTGGAGAGGACCTTCAAGTTCTGTAAAGAATGTCCGCCTGCTATATGCATTGCTGCTTTGTTTTTAATCGTTTCTCGAATTTATTGCGGCATATGAAACTAGCACGCGAAATCTACAGATAAGTAATGCGCTCTTCTTTTGTTGCGAGGCAAAATTTACGTTCGACTATTAAAAATACGCCAATAAATTAGGAAATGAGGTCGGTCATTTGAATGCAAGCAAAGTATCGTAAAAAGCGATCACTATGAAAACCATCAATAAATTTATTAACTAATCGACAATGTAAATAAAATATTTTACTAAATAAAAATATGTAATGTGGAAAATTAATTTATATGCGTAACATATTTCAGTACCACAGGCACAAGGGGAGGTGTTGAGCTTCCCCAACGTCGGCAGGAGCGAAATGGGAGCTTACATGTGTATAGCAAGCAATGGTGTGCCACCTTCGGTGAGCAAGAGGATGATGCTGCAAGTTCATTGTGAGTATAATCTATGCATTCTGTCGCAGCGGTTGATCAATTTTTTCCTTTTCCTGTTTATTTACGGTGGAGCGAAGCATTTAGCGCGTTCTCGATTTTTCCCTCGAGCATGTCTGAGCACTTAACCACCACCTCGTCTTATGAATACCTAGAGAAAAGTCGCACTTTTCATACTGACAGCGTATTTTTTCAATACCTATATTCAGTTATATCTGATGAAGTTTCTATCGGCATTTCATTTGATCTCACTTATCATCATCAAATCAGACTTCATTGCGGCAAGAAAATTCCATGAATATTCTATCACATTTAATAACTGTCTAAATCTTAACGTACGATACCATTTCCACGAGAATATGAGTCCATAGATATTTTATAACAATTCATAATTTCTCGAACTTTTTATATGATACGATTTCACATTTGGGTTTAAAAGTCGTATCGCGTTACAAAAATAGCTGTGAGGAGCGGTAACTTCAGTTTTTAACATTGTTACACATGAAAAATGCATAAAAAATGACGCCAGCACACGTACATATACAAAGTGACGTTAAAAAAAACTTGTGTTCGTGTGTGTAACCCCTCACAGAAGTAACGAAATACATAGCGGTAATATTAGTTAAGCTTTTCCAACACTGGCGTAGATAGTACTTATTAAAAAGATGGTCAAACGTTGTATAAGCTGAAATTTAGTAGTATAACTGCAGCTGCGTCATCTCATTTGAGCAAGCGAGGGGCGCATCGAAGGGTCGCAGTGTAAACAAAGGATGTTCACGGGTGAATTAACGAAGCGAATAGTGTCGGCTGAGGAAGCGCGAATAAACGAGCCGGAGGAGACAGAAGAGGGAGCAGAACAGGGTGAAGAAGGGTGAGGTGAGCGAGGTGGGAGGAGCGAATGAAACAATAACCATTACGAAAGGAGGTTAAGAAAATTAAGGAGCAAAAAGAAGGTACAGCCAACGACTGCCACCGTGAGAAAGAAAGAGACAGAGAGACAGAGAGAGAGAGAGACAGAGAGAGAGAGAGACAGAGAGAGAGAGAGAGAGAGCGAGAGAGAGAGAGAGATAGAGCGAAGACGAGAAGGTGGCGTCGAAAAGGTAAACCGCAAGAGCAAAATGATAAGGCTGCCGAGACAATGGGTCAGATAGACTCTACGGAGATAGCGTCGTGGCGTTATAGCGTCGAGTGGGAGAGATAATAAAATTACAGTGCTACTGCTGCTGCTGCTGCGCAATACACTATGGGTGCAGCTTGAGAGAGAAAGAGAGAGAGAGAGAGAGAGAGAGAGAGAGAGAGAGAGAGCCTTGGAATGAATTAAGCCGCGGTTACGAGCGACTGGCCGCGCCGCGGCTCTATCTGTTCGCGTCCATCTCCAAGCTCGATTCACGCTGCAGCCTCTTCTGCCTTGCTTCTGCGCTAGAGGTAATTCCTTCCCGGAAATTGGATGTTCGCTAACACGCGCCAGATGCGGACCAATGCCAGCGCCTTTAAGACGGACAGCACCGAATAATTCAACGGATCGACACCTTTCCTCTGCTCCCCATGCCTCGCCGGCATCTTCCCACTCCCCTAATTGCTCGTTCTTGCTGATTTGGGCACCGCCACCACAAAGCCTAAACCAGCTATCATGTTTTCTTGACAATGTCTCTCTCTCTCTCACTCTTTTATTATTGCCATTCGTCCATTAAAATCTTGTATATTTAAATCTCAAAAGATTTAACAAGCATCGATGTTAGTGACCGTTCTCCCACTCTAGTTTCGAATAAATAGAAAAAAATATATAAAAATATCGGTTATATTAAAATATCAGTGGTAGTGAAAAGAAAGGATTAGACCTATAATGACAAATGTTCGATTTGTTTGATATTCTTGTTCTTTATTAGATGAATCTTGCAGCTTTGACAAGCTGAGTATGGACATTTGGTAAATTCGAACCGGGGTTGTCAGTTGAAGGCGATTCCTTTTCAATTACTTGCCACAGTTGCTGCTCATGATGGCTCTCTTTCTAATTCCACGGGCGTCAAGGTGGTTGGCTTTTCCGCGACAGAGGACGAGAGGTAAGAAGTGGGAAGTGCGAAGAGAGAGAGAGAGAGAGAGAGAGAGAGAGAGAGAGAAGGGGTGCGATGCAGCTGGAACGATAAGATAACGCGGCCGATCCTTCTCTACATTACCACCTAGTCTGGCGCAGATGGGACGCGGTTACGGTGAGAGGAAAGGAGAAACGGAGGTAAAGAGAGGATCGAGCCCGTAAACTTTTCGTTAGGTTTTATACTCGGCGCGCGTACTCTCACGTCGCCGTCTACACGCGCGATCGTGGGGCACGGGTGCGCGCTACTGACGCGACGTCGGGGCCACGATAAAAAAGGGATTAAGAAAGCTAAAGTGGCGCGCGGCCCGAGCTTAAAATCTCGCGTGTAAAGAGCCTTTTTTACTCAGTGTCGCCGCTGTTCGCCCACCCTCCTATGACCAGCCTCTCATCCAGCAGCAGTAGTAGCAGCAGCACTAAAGACACTTCTCTCCTCTCTCTCTCTCTCTCTCTCTCTCTCTCTCTCTCTCTCTCTCTCTCTCTCTCTCTCTCTCTCTCTCTCTCTCTCTCTCTCTTCTGACGTTAATTGCGCGCGGTACTCGCTGTCGTATAACGCCCGACGCTACAGTGCATCGGCGCCGCGCCAAAATGTCGATTGCCGCCACCTAGCATGTATAGCATCAACGAAGAAAGCCGCCCTGAGTTCATCAGCACGCCTCCTATAACCTTTTTCCTTTCTTTTTCTCCTCGATTTTTCCTCGCTACCGATGGAGATGACGTTGTCTTTACGAGCTGCAAAGAGCCAGCCGCAGTCGACTAGTGCGCGGCTCGACACGGCCTACCTTAAAACCCAGCACAACGTTATTACCGGCTTTTACTCGCCAGCCTCGTAGCCAGCACCTCCGAGCTCTTTAATTGATCGTAATTATATAAGACGCCAACCAAGGACCGACAGAAGAATAACAATTTCAATAAATGAATGTACCGGTTCCTCCTGGCTCTTGCTCTTTCTTCTCTACCATTATATTATATATAATATATAAAACTGAATTATATCTCGCTATCTACCAAAATAGTACTGTGACCTGAGATATCTACGGTATCTGATACTAATTACATTACTGACAATCAAATTCAATATTAAAGTTAGTGATTCGATGATTTATTCAAAAATTATTCAAATGGCATTAATATGCTCTGACTTCACCTGAGAACGCGTAAATCTTCATGGTCGATAACATATAATACCTTGTTAGAATTCGCTATTTAAATTGATTTTTTGGCGTAGACATTTATATAAAGACAAGCACTTATCCAATGACGTTGACGAAGAGAAAAGTAAGAAAATATATTTTGTGGTGTTCGTCTACGATTATTAAAGTTCTATATAAGGAATATATATATCTGAGATAGAAAGTATGAAACTGATAATGACTGACGGCTAAAAAGATGTGCGCGTAGGTGTTGAGAGTATAGAGCGACGATGATGGGATGGAAGAGGATGTCGAAAGGCAAGAGGTCGATCGCTTATCCGCTAATTGCAGTGTAAAGGACAGGGGCGCATTATGCGCGAGCAGGTAGCCGCCTCCTTTGCCTCCCTCAGACTCGCGCCACGACGTACTCGTCGTCTCCTGCGACTGACGATGGGTCAGATGTATATTCTCTGCTTTATAAATCGACCCTATCGCGCAAAGTACGAGAACATTAAATGCCGTAGCACTTACTATGTTTAATAATATGCCTCTCTCTCTCTCTCTCTCTCTCTCTCTTCTCTGTTTTACGACAAAAATAACTTTTACAACTCGTTGATGGAACGTTATGTAATTTTATCGACGCGATCGAATGACAAAGTCAGAAGAAACTCCATTAGTTGCTGAAATACGGAAAATACACGATTATCTTGATCATGTAGATCCGGATACTGGTGGATGTTAAACAGATATGTTTTAATCGTTAAATTAAAAAATGAACGTGGAATTGAAATTTAATACTCCCGCTAAGAGCATCAATCATTGAAAACTGGAATCGACAGTTGTCTGGTAAAAGCATGAAAACTCAATCCATTAGTTTCGGTCATATTAAAATTCGATGAGTATGGAAAACATTGAAATATGAATTGTCAGCTAACTTACGGATAAAATCTGAAAAAAATAACAACGCAAATCCTTTGTGCTTTGACTTGTTAAATATATAATAACCAAATACTAATTAGAAACTCTTGAAATGTCGGTCTCTGATCGGGTCATTAGATAATTTGCAGGCTTTTTCGACCTCGAACGTTGATCAGCACCAGCTGACAATCACGACAGCGTGTCCGATAAAATGTCGGCCGCGAACGTGTAAATATGCGCGGATTGTAGGGCTACGGTGTAAAGAGAGGGATGGAGGGGGAGGGAGAGAGAGAGAGAGAGCGATGAAAAGAGGAAAAAGAGAAAGGGAGAAGCGCTGCACTTCGATTGATTTATGACTGCGGCCCGAGCCGAAAGTTTTAATAGCCTTCTCGCGATATATAAGCGCAGCTGAAAAAGCGTGCATTTTCATTTTTTTTTACCGAGAGAGCTGCCTATTGACGCGTTCGCGACTCACAGGAATGCAAGAGACGAATGTGTACGGAGAAATCCGTTGAAAAGCGACAGATAGCTCTCGTTTGCGATTGATGGCACTTCCTCGTCTATCCCTCTCTTCTTTTCCCAACAGCGTAAGCGCGAATCACATGCGTTTTCGCGCTCACGCTGTTGGGTTTTCGCGTTCGATCTCGCGCTAGCGCGGATGATCGAGGCGCAATCGAGCTGAATTTCACGCGGATGCTGCTACATGCTCTCATCACTTTGACAAATCGGAAACAATGATGTTTCAACATTTTTTTCGACCCCACCGCTTTCCTCACTCGCATCCTCCATGAAGCGTATTTACATTTTTCGGTATAAACCGAGATCACCTTTTCGCATCAATCTGTTTCCACGTACGTACTCGCTCGCCGCCACCGTCGAAGCTAACACTTCCTATTTCTCATCTATCCAATATCAAACACACTATGATTAATGTGCAATAAAGCAAAACGTAATATGATTGGTATACGTTGCTGCAGTTCGACCATTGATTGAGGTGCCGAATCAACTGGTAGGCGCGCCTATGGGAACGGATGTGACGCTTTCGTGCAAAGTTGAAGCCTCGCCGAAGCCTATTAATTACTGGACGCGCGAAAATGGTGAGTATGCACGCAGCACAGCGCGCCGAGTGCTTTGGCGCTTGCCAATTTCAAGTTTTATACGGCCCCGATGGATAGCCAACCTTGCAATTTCCTTATTCCATCAACGTGTTTGCACACTTGACCGCCGCTCGCCGCCAGTGCCGCTTATCTCGTCGTTATCAAAATTGCCAAACTACATTTCAACTTTGTAGAGACGAAACTCGTGGAATATCGTATCGAAAGTACTCCGCGTGTTTCCTCACTAGTGTTTCCACTTCCCACCATTTTCGTTCAATAGTTTTTATAAAAGCCCCAGTTGCTTGTTAAAACAACAAATAGAATTTGCTCTTATTTCAATGTAGTTTTAATGTACACCGAAAAAAGCAAGATCAACGTCGACAAAGATTAATTTGAGTAATTTTATCAAGTTATTGAAAGCTCAACTATGAGCTCAATTTTTACTAAATAGAGACGAGGAGGCAGTTCAATTAGTCGGATGACAAAAGCAAATAAAGTTTCAAATGTTAAATCGACTTTTCTGAAGAACTAAATTAACGAGTTCTATAAATGTCTACTCAACAGGGGAAATGATAATAACCAACGACAAATACTACATGTCTGAGGAAGCGACAAACATGTACAGCTCCTGGATGCAACTGATCATTCGCAAACTTGAAGCACGTGATTTCGGCGGCTACAAGTGCATTTCGAAAAACTCGTTAGGTGACGCCGAAAGTGGCATCAGATTGTACGGTGAGTAAAAAGTCTACCTTTTCACTTGATTTTTATTTCAGTTCCCTTTTCAGTCGGAATATCGATTAGGTTTTTGCTATCGAAGAAGACTTCGTGGAACTCGCAACTGCAAAGCGAAAGAAAGAATATTATGTTGTTAGCTGCATAAACAGTAGGAGATGAAAAAGTCTCGTATGGATAAAGCTCGTAGGTGATCGTTAACAATAGCTAAGCGGTTTGAAACCCAAAGGATCGAATGAAAAAGTTGCGCGCTCAAAGAGACGACGTGCAGAAAAGTACAGTAGATTAAAAAACATAAAAGTAATAGTTAAGAGTTAACGAGAGGATATCGCAGATGAACGATGCTAAGCCGATAAAGAGCTTTTGAGAAACTCAGAGAACAGAATTTTGATAATGTTGGCGGTGCGCGAACAAGTCGACGGGCGAGGCGTCGGCGAGAAATAAGCGCGAGTAGACTGTGAACTGTTGTTCTTTAATGAAATACTTATCTATCCGGGCATCCGGGTTGCTGGGCTCTTTAGCTCCTTTGCCCCGTCGAGGCGAGGGAGAGCTACGAACCGCCGCAAGAGCTTATCTGATCGCGTGACTACGTTGCAAAACCAAGCAAGAGATGCGCGAGACAAGGGGCGTCCGTTTACATCGGAAAATACTCGTCTCAAGGGCCGCACTCTTTCTCTCTCTCTCTCTCTCTCTCTCTCTCTCTCTCTCTCTCTCTCTCTCTTTCTCTCTCTTCACTGCTGCCGCGTGTTTTTTCCTCATCCGCGCTCTCGGAATTATAACTTTCGCGCTGTTAAAAATGAAACTGGCCTTGGCCCCGGGGATGGAAATGTTGTTTCGTGCACCCTTCCTTTTATTACCCCTCGCCACATTCTTTCTCTCTTTCTCTCTCATTATATTTAAGGCTCACCCGAGATTTTCAAATGAATCTGAATTATTGCTTCCAAGAGTATAGCTTACTATGAAAAACACGCCTGTCTACTTTTCTCATTGATTATAATTCTGACCGAGAATTTTTAATGCGGCGCTCAGCACGACTTTAATTGAAATTTCGCGGAACCCTCTTCGTTTAGAGTTTTATAGACTTGACCACTCTTGGCATCGTTTAAATTCCTTTCTACGATATATAATTAAATTATTCATGTTAGCTGAAGTGAGAAACTAGCAATGAAAGTTTTATCGGTGGTTTATTAAAAAGTAAAAAAACTTAACTTCGAAACTACCGCTGTTCTTAAATAATAATCCAATTAGCTGCACATGCAATATTATACTATGTTATCTTTTCATCATATTAATATATTAGATTTACACGTAGTTTTAGTGGTTTCATTCATTTTTTTCCCCGCATAGCGAAGACGCTCAATAAACATGATAGTTTGAACTAACTCAAAAAAAAAGTTCGAAAATCGAAGCTACCTCTTCGTTCAGTACTTAGTTAATTGCACCTAAATCTCGTTAAACGGATAAGTTCTAAATGCGATGTTTACTCGAGATAGGCTATATTGCAATGATGAGCTATGATTAGTGACGATAGCAAACAAATCATCAAGGACATAATTCACGTTGAAAATTGGGTTATTGAATAAGAGCTATTGAATATGTAGGTAGAGCATATATAGGTATAGCCAATTCGGCGATTAATTCGGAGTGGGTTTTGCCAAATTTTCAAACTAAGTTCACGCTTATTATTTGTTAGTGGTATTAATAGAAACTGCAAATACTATTATATAAATATAGTTTACTTTTTAATTTAAAAATAAACGAAAAGTCGTGTGGATAGTCTTATTTCAAATTATACAGGCAACATGTATCAAAAACTATATGTTGCTTTATTCCTTGCTCAAAGTTTCGACTCTTGCCGAGCTACCAAAAATGTAGCACTGCATAAAAACTCATCGTTATAATGAAACTACAGAATTGAGAGGTTTACGCAGAATTTATGTTTTGAAAATGCTTCAAGTGTTAAGTAAACCTAGATATGATTTTCAACGTATATTAATTCTTGAAAGTCAAAGGTTTTGATTTTATTGATGTTTATCACTGCTATGAGCAAAAAGGCTAGGTTATTAGTACATGAGACGACGAACTAAATTACTCTTGAATATAGAATATTGTCCTTATCATTAGCATATTGGACAGAATGGAGCCGCATTAATGTATTTTTTCTGTGTAATTGGTCGTATAATCCATTAAAAGGAAATCCACGAACAATCGGAGAAGATTAAATTAGCCGATTACAAGTATTATTAGAGATGGGGAAAGTTTAATAAGCGTACTAACGAGGTGGCGAGTCTAATCTAAGATGAAGTTGGCATGGAAGCACGTTGACAGATGAGGGTCGGAGCGTATCCGGTAATTATGGCTAGCGCGTAAAGCAAAGCGCGCTAGAAGTGCGCCAGCGCGGCTTCGTTTTTCTTTTCCTTTTTTCTCCTTCTAGTACAGTACCGCGCCAAACCGCACTCACGGAAGGGGGTAAAAAAGGCGTTGCGGGGAAGGGAGAGCAGCGACTGACCGGCCAAAGTAGCAGTTTAACACTGATAACACTTGGCAGACTTTTATCGATCATGTCTGGCAACAGATGGCTCACCCAATTCTCACTCGGGCGCACGCGGTGACGGCGCGGCGGCGAGCAGCCCAGCCTGATAAACGATAACTAATGCGTGCCGGATATTGTTTCACCGACTTTAGCACCCTGCAGCCGTTCGACTCTTCGTCTTGTTCTTCTCTCACTTCTCTCTCGCTACCACGCGCCCTTTCTTCGGCTTGTCGTAGTCGCTGCTCTCCGTACGTGTGTTTCTTTCCTCGGATAACTTTCTTCCGGTTTCCACGCGCGGAGCCCCCCACTCCCCTCTCGCTACGGCTGCTGTCACATGTGCCAGCAGCGTTCTGCTGGTTTCGTGTCTCATTCTTTGACGTTTCCAACGATTTCGTTTCAGCCAACCCCTGCGGCCAGATCTGGACGTGCCACGCTGTTTTTTTTTTGTTTTCGCCCAACAGATGTACACGAGAAATGATCATAACGGAAGCGCTACCTGCGATAACGAATTAATGCTGAAAGAGCTAATCTCGGATGAAGATAGCGCGCATTTTTTCAACCTCGTTCTCTGCTTCGGGGAACGCAAAGAACACCGCGAACAATCGATACAAACCATTTTAAAATACTATTGGAAACTTCTGATCCGCGGTACTTTACGATTCTCTGTTGCAGAAATAGCACTGCAGGATAGAAAAGGCGACAACGACTTTGAGAGCGACGAGCGCGAGCAAAGCAACCGGCTGAACCACGTGTACCAAGGCTCGCTGCGCGAGAGCGGCGCGACCCTCCAACCGAGGGGTAATGCGGCCACGGCTGCGGCGACAGCGTCTTCTTCTTTCGACAGCAACATGCAAGTGGCGAGGCTCCGGATGACTCTGCTACTGCTGTTGCTGCCAGTGTTGATCGCCAGGGCGTAAGTGGCCCGTGCTCTCTCACTCACTCGGTCACGCTCACCTGTAAAAAGTTGCATAGTACCTATAAGCTATACACCAGCGCCACCAACATGCCCCGGGTTCTGGCTCGTTCGCGACTCGGAGCTCGGCTATCCTATCTCACCTATTGGCTTTTCCGCGTGTCCCCAGGACATGCTCGTTAATTTGATTCGTTCGTTCTTGTCGCTAGGTCGATAGTCTCGCGCCGATAACACGAACGCAGCCGAGTCCGGAACAATAACTGTTATTATTGTGCGGATACAAAAGCATTGTACATAGACCTTATCAAAAATGGATAAGCGCACCTGGAGAAAGCTTATTTATTGAAAATGTTACTTTAGTCCTGGCTTTGATGTTTTAGCGATTTCGATGCGTATGCAATTCGAATGAGTGACATCCTCATAGATTATGTGCGCATTTGAAAAGTTAAAAGCAACCGCTGTCGTGCCAAAGTTACTTGAGTTGTTCGTGAGTACGGAAATAATTATGGAAGAATGCACCGTTGAAAATTATCGTTGACTTTATTATAACTACTCGAGGCTCACGACTACTGAAATGTCCAAAAATGAAATTTCGTTGCATGTCGTTCCTGTTTCTACAATCTAATGATGTAGGGGATAAAGCAAGTTGAAAGATAAGATTAAGGAATCTAAAAAAGTTCACTAGGGAATGCTGAAACATTCAGTGCCCGATTCCCGAACGACAAGCCTAAATGATTTAGCATACACGCTAGACAATGTAGGATGAAGGAGGCTAAGTGACATGACGTAAAGATTGATCTGTAGATTGAAATTCTAGCGACCTATATTGCTCTGCTTGTACCGAGGACACGGTGTTCATGCGCGTGAAAGATGGAATTGAGAACTGCGGGCGGAACGCGACAGGTTTTCCGCACAGCGTTTTCCGTGATTGCGCACATTTCATTATCCGATATAATTCCGGTTGCCTCTTGGCCCCTCTCCCTTTTCACTTTTCTCCGCTTTCTTCTTGCGCCATGCTCGCACTTCATATCGCAGATTAGCGAGCACCTGTTGCTGCTGCTACCGCTGCAGCCAACAGTGCCGCCAGCTACGCTGCTCCTCTGGAAATCTAATTGCTTCCTCGGCGCAAGAATCGACTCCGGCTTGCGGATATATTATATATCCGTACTTCGCCAAAGAAAACTCTTTAATAATCTCGATGCACTACTCTCTGATCTGCTCCGGCAAGTTGCTGCTGCGGATGAAAGTTTTTCGCGAACTCCTTAATTAAGAACACGATTTGCCTCTCACGCTCCATCGTACACTCGGTATTCGATTTTCGAAATTTTTACACCAATTCGATCACTATTTCTTGTAAATGGTCCAAAAAACATATCATTTCTACTGACTAGGCAAGTGGCGTTAGATCCATAAAGTTCTATAGTGTTTGTACATTTAGTAAATTGTAACTCTTGTCAATTAAAGTTTTTTAGTGCGTGTTTCAGTTATATTAATACTGTCTTATAACAAAACAAAAAAATGACTTAATTACAGTTGAATAGACCTTCTCTACAGCATTTGTCATGGAATTAGTATACTTTATTTTTTTATACGTGTGTAAATATCTTTTCAGTACGTTTTTTCATAATTTTCCACTTGAAAAGGTTTATGTGCATCAGAAAATGTTTAATTACTCATAAAATGTCAACTTAGCACATTTATTTTTCTGTCAGAAGAATGCGTAATATCAAATAGGTTTATCATATTAAAAAATAATACGACAGTTTCCGTATGCTAACTCGCAATCATCTTATAAAATTTTACTGACTGATTCTATACTGATTTTTTCATACTCTGAAAGGATATACACTTTTTACTCACTGCAATAATGAAAGTACATAACTTAATCGTATGACCATGCTTTGAAAAGTTTCAAAAATATACATTTGCTTTTTCTGAACTATATCACGACGTTAGTGCTATAACATTGTAATAAAATTATAGATTAAAAGTATATAAAAGATTAGTAGGATTAAATTTTATTAAACTGCTGATAAAAATATATTTACATAAGTACATATCAGAGTTATTTAAACTTTCAAATCAAATTTGATTTTATTAACGAAAAAAAATTAGAAATATTGATGTCAATCAATATCTAATCTTGAATTTAATATTTTGATATAAATCTGATTAATCCGTATGCTATGAAGATTAACTAGAGCTTTTAAAATATGCTTTAAGATGTTCCAAATATATGCTTTTGGAACCTCAAATAATAAACAAATGGACTTTATAATTGTGTACAGTAATTTTTTTAAATTCTTTAATAATATGTTACACTGTTTAACATGCAAATGCAAGATCTGTGTGATGTAATGTTAATGAAATCGATATTATAATATAAATATTTATACAATTTAAAATGCATACAATGACTTTCAATTTTAATGATTAAATTAACGTATATATATTGAACGATTATATTATTACGAATTATTCCATTAAAATAACTAATTTTTACATTGAGATATTTTAAATTCAGGCAAATTTTCTCAAATATTTAAGCAATAAATAGCAATTCTTTGGAAGTTGATTTTCACACATAATGTTATTTTGAGTGTAAATATTGTGGTTAACTGACGTTTTACGATTTGTGAATATAGTTTAATTATGAACTTCAAAAGATTTCTATGCATTATTTTTGAAAATTCAGTAGAATTATATCATGAAAATTATTCAAATGTAGAATAATGCCTAATTTAAGAAATTTAATTATGTTTCTTCATGCTATTCATTCCTGAATCGATTCATAAGAAACAATTTTCAAAACAGTTCATATACTACGGAAATTTAACCACAATTGATACGAACATTATATAGCACTTAAACTTTATCAAAATTAGTAATTATAAAGGACAACAAAATTCGAATTGACAAGGTTCTTTTAATAAAGTTTTAATGTATGATACGTATTAAAGTAAGTGATTATTTTTGCATTTTCAGAAAATTGCAAAGTTACACAGTCGAATTGATTATAATTGTTGAAATGTTGTTGAGGATAAAATGTTAACGGAATGAGAAATTCGTGGTTAGCTATTATAAACTACTCACAAAAATTTAGGGGTATAAAACAATTCCAAATAGTTGAAGTCATTTTCGATAATGGATAACTCGAAGAAAAATGGTCATACATAAACAAAAAATTATAACTTCAAGTTTCTAGTTTTCAGATCTGAGTTGTAAAATATTTTAGCTTAGGCGGTTTACGAATAGTAATAGAAAAAACCGTAAAAAAAATTTTTTTCTAAATTTTTCATCGTCTTTAAGATGATCTGCGGAACTTTAAAAATGTACTTCTATCATGCGACTTTGAAACTCTTTTAGGCAATTTAATCAACTTTGATTTGCTTTGTTAAAGAACTCCGTACGGTGATTTGGTCAGAGTAATCGTTGATCAAGGCAAAGAAGGCCCGGAATCCAATGATCGTACAGAAAATGGAAGTAAGGTTCTTAAAACTGCAAAACATTCTCTATGACATGAAATTAGTGGCTGTTGATGAAAAAAATTTTTCGAAATGATGTTAATTGAAAAAAAGTTGAAAATTTACAAATTTAAGGATATTCATAAAATTGGGTATAACTTTGGATATAATGGATGAATGAAGGATGTCGACTGCAATTTTTCAACCTCAAAGTGTACCCAAAAACTCTCAAAGTTGCGGAGTACTTCGATTTTATTTTCTTAATGCTCCGAAGATTCAAAATTAACATTTCTGTGATAAATGAATTTTCCTGTATGACAAGGACAGACGATCTCTCATTTATCGTCACCGTGATGTAGGAAATCGTGACCATTTCGTAAGATCAGTAATGGTATGAGTAGGCATTTGTTGCAATATCAAAACTCCATTAGTGATCGTTAATAGAATACTAACTGTCGAAAGATACATCAATGAAATCCTCAAATCCCACGGGCTTCCTGTCCGCAAATGGATAGGAAGTCGGTTCATTCTTATGCAGGATAATGCTCGCTCTCTCACTGTCGTACGTACCAGAAATTTTCTCGCCAAGAACAATGTGGTAACGCTGCATCACTCGCCAATAAGTCCCGATCTGAATCCAATCGAGCATGTTTGGGACATGCTTAAGTGTCGATTGAAGAGAGACTACCCGCAATTGTACAATTTGCGTCAGCTGTCTCAAGCTGTGATCCAATGTTGGCGGGGACTAAGCCATAGAGACATTCAGAGGTGCATCAATATGCGGGAACATCAATTTGCAAACGATGATCCAAAACAGTAGCGACAACACTAAATATTTAAGTAGGATTATGCGCACGCACGCACGCACGCACGCACGCACGCAAACACACATACACACGTTTTTGAAGGATTAGTTTGAGCCGTTAAATACGGTGAAATTGACGAACCACCGAATCTCATTCATCCTAAAAGAGCCACACACACACACGAGCGTGCGCGTGTAAAAAGCGAAAGTCCGACCGCGCAACCTTGCAAATTATGAAAAGCGTACCTCCATATGATACGCTTTAGGTACCACTAATGCTGGCGAAAAATGGAAAAAGTCAAAAGTTATGGTAATGAAATGTTACGTTCATACTGAGAAAAAAAATTAGTGATAAAAATATCATTTTTTTAACATTTTTTGTGCATAACTTTCTTCGTAAATTTCTTTTAATGCAGAATTGACTTATTATTGCTAAAAAAACCTTTATAAGTTGAAAAATAAATAAAAATATAAAAAATTGCTTGTTTGGTGATTTTTTATAGAAACGTTGATTTTGAACTTTCGGGGTACTAAGAAAAAAAATTACAGTGCTCCGCAACTTTGAACGTTCTTGGGGACAATTTGAGGTTGACAAATTACAATTGACATTCTTCTTTCATCTTTTATATTTAAAGTTATATCCAATTTAATAAATATATTCAAATTCGTAAATTTGCAACTTTTTTCAGTCAACATTATCACTTTGAAAAAATTTTTTTATCAACAGCCACTAATTTCATGTTATAGAAAATGTTTTGCAGTTTTTAAAATCTTACTTCCATTTTCTGTACGATCATTGGATTCCGGGAAATTGATTATCAAAATCAAACGATTACTTTGAACCAAATACCGTACAGAGCTTTTTAACAAAGCAAATCAAAGCTGATGAAATTGTATAAAAGTGTTTTAAAATCGTGTGATAGAAAGAAATTTTTTAAAGTTCAGAGACTATTTTAAAGACGAAAAAAAATTTAGAAAAATATTTTTTGATGGGTTTTCAATAACTACTCGTAAACCGCCTATGCTAAAATATTTTATAGCTCAGATCTGAAAACTGGAAACTTGAAGCTGTAATTCCTTTTTCTTTCTGTACGACCATTTCTCTCCGAGTTATGCCTTGTTGAAAATGATCCCATAATTAAAAAATTTTTTTTTATATTCTTTAATTTTTGTGTGTAGCGTATATCATGTAAATAAAAATTATGAAAAGCGAATTCTTGTACGAACCGTAAGAACCTCTGATATCAATTGTAAAACTCCAACGAATCTTTGACGAGACGAATGATATATAAGTTATAGGCGCCTCGCACTCTGTACAATAATCGTGCATTCAATACTTGTCACGAGTAAACGTAAACGTGAAAAATACGATGTACCGCGTGAAGAAAGAAGGAGCCATATCTTTAGCTATTTAAGTAATGAAAAAATTACGATGTACATTATAATATAAATCACGATGAAGTGGAATACTTATTGGTATGCGTACATATTATATACATATGAACGAGATGTAACACATATAGGTACAGATGCGACGAGACATAGATGCATACACAAAAGAGAGAAACATGTTTAATGAACGAAGAGTGGTCGTCTACTATTAGCCTATCGTTAAAAAATGATGTACTTGTATGACGTTGTGAAACATGAAAAACGTGAGAACATATAACCTGGACGGCAAGCATCGTATTTGTTGTATAGACTAAAATTGCGCCGAGATCAATATGCTGATGTTTGGACGAAATATACACGAAATTATATATATATATATATATATAGCGAAATAAAAAAATATTAATGTAATACATTTTTTCTCTTATCTTACTTCACTACTTATGATATATAAATTTATTTTTAATTTTTACTATTCATTATTTTATTGCTTTTAAACATTTTTGGCGCTTTATGACTCGAATTGTATGGCAGTAATTTTTGTTATCATATAACATCTAACTAAATGTGATTTGGCATTGTTAGCTCGAACTTTTAAACAATAGATTCAAAAATGTTATTGGAGCTAGCCTCAAACGGTAAGTATTCCCGACAATAGCTAGAGTCATCAGTCAACAACACTTTCACTAGACTGTTGATTATTTGCCAGAGTAGGTATAAAGAATATTGAACATATGTAACGTAAGACACTACCACTAAGACATTTAGAAAATTAAATAATCGACGACAAGGAAACAGCCTTCAAGTGTTAGGTCATTATTGGATGGCCATTGAAATTAATGAGCTGCGTTGGAATTGTTTGAGCGCAGCGAAACGTGACGTTTGCACCGCAAACGCCGCATCGAAATGCCGACACCCCAGGCAATCTCGGCTTACCCCTTCCCTCCCTTTATCCTTCCTCTCACCCCCTTTGCTCTCGCCAACTGCACTTGCCGCGGCCTCTGAGTAGTCCTTGTTGATGTTGCGATTATTACGATTGAACCTCGAATTTCCATGCATGTACTGACAGCACGCAGATTGATAATCGTAATGGATGCGTGGCCAAGTCAGGCCCTGCTTGAAACCCCGAAGCCCCGATGCCTCGTCTGCTCAATTGATTTTTGATCAAATGCCATATTCAGCAGACAGCCAAATTCAATATGTTCATATATACAACGTTGA